CTAAGGATAACAGTCTCCAGTATGGTAAGTTAATTCTTTTCTACACACATATCTATGTTAACTCTGTTCTACACACATATCTTTTTTATTATTATTATACTTTAAGTTCTGGAGTACACGTATAGAACGTGCAGGTTTATTACATAGGTATGCACGTGCCATGGTGGTTTGCTGCATCCATCACCCCGTCATCTACATTACGTATTTCTCCTAACGCATCCCTCCCCCTGCTGTCCCTCCCCTAGGCCCCCACCTGCCAATAGGCCTGATTGTATGATGTTCCCCTCCCTGTGTCCATGTGTTCTGATTGTTCAATACCCACTTATGAGTGAGAACACGGGGTGTTTGGTTTTCTGTTCTTGTGTCAGTTTGCTGAGAATGATGGTTTCCAGCTTCATCCATGTCCCTGCAAAGGACGTGAACTCATCCTTTTTTATGGCTGCATAGTATTCCATGGTGTATATGTGTCACATTTTCTTTATCCAGTCTGTCATTGATGGGCATTTGGGTTGGTTCCAAGTCTTTGCTATTGTGAACAGTGTGAATAAACATACATGTGCATGTGTTTTTCTAATAGAATGATTTATAATCTTTTGAGTATAAACCTAGTAATGGGCATAATTACTAGGTTTATACCCATGCTGGGTGAAATGATATTTCTGTTTCCTTTAGATCCTTGAGGAATTGCCACGGTCTCGCTCTGTCCTCCAGGCTGGAGTGCAGAGGCATGATCTTGGCTTACTCTAACCTCTGCCTCCTGGGTTCTTGTGCCTCAGTCTTCCTGAGTAGCTAGGATTGCAGGTGTGCACCATCACGCCCAATTAATTTTTTGTATTTTTAGTAGAGAAAGGGTTTCACCATGTTGGCCAGGCTGGTCTCGAACTGCCAGCCTCAAGGGATCCGCCCACCTCAGCCTCCCAAACTGCTGGAATTACAGGCATGCGCCACCACACCTGGCCTTTTACACACATATATCTAAAAAGAAAGGCAAGTGAATGGGAAAATAGAGAAGAAAAGAAAAAAGTAACATTAAAAAAAGAGTGACACTGAAAAGGAAAAGAAAATATTGAGGGTTTTTTTGTTTTGTTTTGTTTTTTAAAGACGGTTTTCACCATGTTGGTCGGGCTGGTCTTGAACTCCTGACCTCAGGTGATCCGCCCACCGTGGCCTCCAAAGTGCTTGGTTTACAGGAGTGAGCCACCACACCCGGCCATATTGAGGGTTTTTAAAAAATGGTAGAGAAAACAAATTGTTGTATGATAATGTCATAAGAAGTAACAATAAATACACAAAATCATGAAATGTTCTGAACTTGTGCTTTGAGGAGATCAATACTTTGTTCCAGACTCTGGATGCAAGACAGTGCCACCAACGTATTTAGCATACTGTATGTTTTTGTTTTTGTTTTTTGAGACAGACTCTTGCTCTATCGCTCAGGCTGGAGTTAAGTGGCACAATCTTGGCTCACTGCAACCTCCACCTCACAGGTTCAAATGATTCTCCAGCCTCAGCCTCCCGAGTAGCTGGGATTACAGGCATTCGCCACAACACCCAGCTAACATTTGTATTTTTTAGTAGAGACGGAATTTTACCGTGTTAGCCAGTCTGGTCTTGAACTCTTGGGCTCAGGTGATCCACCTGCCTTGGCGTCCCAGAGTGTGCTGGGATTATAGGCATGAGCCACTGCACTTGGCCACACACGAACCCTATGTTCTTTCTTTCTTTCCTTCCTTCCTTCTTTCTTTTCTTTTCTTTTCTTCTTTCTTTCTTTCTTTTTTTTTTCTTTCTTTCTTTCTTTTTCTTTCTTTCTTTCTTTCTTCCTTTTTCTTTCTTTCTTTCCTTTTTCTTCTTTCTCTTTCTTTCTCTTTCTTTCTTTCTTTCTTTCTTTCTTTCTTCCTTTCTTCTTCTTTCTTTTTTCTCTCTCTCTCTTTTCTTTTCTTTTTTCAGAGATGGGATCTGGCTATATTGCCCAGACTGGTCTCAAACTCCTGGGTTCATGCAATCCCCCTGCCTCAGCCTCTCAAAGTGTTGGGATTATAAGCATGAGCTACTACATCCAGCCTATTTTAACTTTTTAAAGTAGAAAAATTCTTTATTCAAAATGAAGCCTTACTTAGAAGCCCAATTAAGACTCAGAAATTGAGCCACTGTGAGCCTAGTGGGTCTGGGGTCATCACCCTGCTTCTCCATACTCTTGAGGTTCCCTGAAGCACAAGTGAAAACCACTGATTTAGTATAATCTCTCTTATTTTTCAGATGATGGAACCAAGGCCTGGCTAACTAAAGTTTCATAGTCTTAGAAATAGAACCCATTTATTTGGAGTCCCAGTTCATTTTGTTCTGTTTATTTTGTTTGTTTGTTTGTTTTGTTTTGTTTTTGTTTTTGAGACAGACTCTCACTCCATTGCCCAGGCTGGAGTGCAGTGGCACAATCACGTCTCACTGTAACCTCTGTCTTCTGAGTTCAAGCGATTCTCCTGCTTCAACCTCACAAGTAGCTGGGATTACAGGCATCTGCCACTACACCCAGTTAATTTTTGTATTTTCAGTAGAGATGGGGTTTCACCATGTTGTCCAAGCTGGTCTCGAACTCCTGATCTCAGGTGATCCACCCGCTTCAGCCTCCCAAAGTATTGGGATTATAGGCGTGAGCCACCACACCCAGCCTCATTTTGTTCTTGTGTTATTTTCAGTAAATCCTAGTGTCCCTGGAAGAAAATGGGTGAAAGCCAACATTTCCTGGTAATCTCTAGTTAGTACATTTATTATTCTTAAGACAGATTTTTTTTTAAAAAAGACAAACAAATGATCTGGCTTTTAGAAAATTCTCCAAAGTAAGCCATGCCGTTGCATCTCATTATGGACCATCAGCCTGTTCTTTTTGTTTAGAGATAGTTTCTTGCTCTGTTTCCCAGGCTGGAGTTCACTGGTGCAATTATTGGTCACTGAGCCTTGAATTCCTGGGCTTAAGCAATCCTGCCACCTCAGCCTCCCAAGTAGCTGAGACTACAGGCACACACCACCACATGGGGCACTAATTTTTTTATTTTTGTAGAGACAGGATCTCACTGTGTTGCCCCAGCTGGTCTCAAACTCCTGGGCTCAAGTGATCCTCTTGCCTTGGGCTCCCCAAGTGCTAGAATTACAGACTCGAACCACTGTACCCAACCCAGACTGTTCTTTAGGGTCCAGCAGCACATTCTCCTTTAAGCGTTAAGTCCTCTGGCCATCGTGGCCTCTCTTCTACCCTTGTGAGAGTTTGCGCCTTTCCTCCATGACAGCCGTCTACCGTGGTTTTGGGCTGAGGTTGTACACATGCTTATTTTACTTCAAAGGCAGGTACTGTAGCTCCTTTATGCCCTACTCTGTGCAATGCCTCACTGAGTACATTCCAGGTCCAGCTACTGTTGCCTGAATTATATTGAAGTGGATGGGGTTCGCCAGACCTACTGAGTTAACTGGAGAGAGGAGGTTAGAGTCTAGTGAACACTGAGAAGTTGCCTCAAGAAACATCTCTTTTATCTGCTGAGTCTGAGGATGATATTTTAAAAAATTAAGAAAAAACATCTATTCTATGTCCTGTTTAATTTCAGAGCCTAGAAGCTGTTTATAAAATTGATGAGAAAAAAAAATTAGGTTCATTATCTTCTGGTTGTTCTAGTTGGGTTTCACGTGTTTTTGCTGCCTTTTCATAGCTTCTGTCATCTCCAGTTATACCCCTTTCTGTTGTAGTGTTGCTGCAAAGTATATGCTTTGACCAATATAGTTTTTTGCTTTATTCTACTTGAGGTAAAAAATATTTGTGATTTGTGGCTGGGTGCAGTGGCTCACGCCTATAATGTCAGCACTTTTGGGAGGCTGAGGTGGGCAGGTCACTTGAGGTCAGGAGTTCAAGACCAGCCTGGCCAACATGGTGAAACCCGGTCTCTATTCAAAATACAAAACATTAACCAGGTGTGGTGGCAGTTGCCTGTAATTCTGGCTACCCAAGAGGCTGAGAGGGATGAATCACTTGAACCCAGAAGTGGAGGTTGCAGTGAGCTGAGATTGCCACACTGCACTCCTGCCTAGGCAACACAGCAAGACACTCTCAAAAAAAAAAAAAAAATTGTGATTTGCTTTAGAGTTCAATTAACTACAATGTGATATTAGATTTGGAATAGACATCAGAAACCATTGAGTCGAGTGTCCCGCCTAGGTCCCTTCTCTGACACCTTGATAGTTAGACATCTCACCTTTCTGTATGCCCACTATGGACAAGGAACTGACTTACTGTGGGTGCGGCACATTCTAGGGGGTGATAAACTCCAGCTTTTGGAGAACCCTCCTTTCCATTAACTGCAGCTGGCCTTCAGTGCTACGGCCTTGCAGTCTTTGCTCTGTCTTCTGGGACTGCACAGGATACACCGTGTCTCTTATGCAATTTTTATTTGATATTAGGAATATGCAGCTTCCCACCAGCCAATTTTGCTTTAAAATAGGATATTCACTAAAGAGCCTGTGCATTTTGCCAAGGTGGATAGGGTGGTGAGAGGGGACAAATGCCTTGTGACACATTCAGTTCAACCTAATTGTGACCATACATTGTAGTGTTTAAATAAAATAATTTAAAAGATAAGATTCTATGACTCCATTTATGTGAAACTCTAGAGAAGACAAAACTATAGTGAAATTTCTAAAGCAGATCAGTGGTGGCCATGAGTTGGGGAGACGATTGGCTATAGAGAACAAGGGAACTCTTTATAGTAATGGAAATACTGTATATCATCATTGTGGTGGGGGGTATACTACTACGTTACTCTCTCTCTCTCTCTCTCTCTCTCTCTCTATATATATATATATATATATATACACACACACACACACACACACATATATCTATATATCTATCTATCTCTCTCTATATATATATATATTTTTTTTTTGAGAGAGAGAGTCTTGTTCTGTCACCCAGGTTGGAGTGCAGTGGCCTGATCTCAGCTCACTGCAGCCTCCACCTGTCAGGTTCAAGCAATTCTCGTTCCTCAGCCTCTCAAGTAGCTGGGACTACAGGTGTGTGCCACCATGCCTGGCTAATGTGTGTGTGTGTGTGTGTGTGTGTGTGTGTGTGTGTGTGTATTTTT